GTTTAATTTTCCCAATATTAAATTAAACATGAATTGTGTTGGGATTGAGGCATACATTCAGAATATTTGAGAAAGTCCCGAATTTGGGACTTAAGAACCGTGTTATAATAAAAGTGGCTCACAATTTTTTCCTTTGGTTGGTGAGCTTTGAGTATGGGACATTTCGGTGCAGGTGAAAAATACTCAACCACCAGACCTTCATCTCATCCATGACCCACAGAATTTTCTCTTTCAATAGAAATTTTATTATATAATTCCTTGAAAATCTTACGCAAATGCATGATAAAACAAATTTGCAATCATGACGTATACAATATTTTGTTAATTGAGTAATTGCTGCCATATAGGCTTCACCAACCCTAATAGTGATACAATTCCAGAGCTCCTAGAAGATATTTGGTAAGTGGATTTTGATGGGAGGTAATTGTGAAATAGCGAGAGAAAGAAATATGGGAGTTCAATGGCAGTTAGACAAAGATAGGCGTCGATCAACGACTATCTAGGTTGAAATCAACAAAAGAAAACTCTAAATCGATGATGTTTGAGTGGAGAGATAATTCCACTACCTATTCCTGAGCAAGATACATATATCACCTACAAAAAGAAGAGGATACAACACTCTAAAGAGCATAACATAGAGAAAAATCTCTCATGTCATAAAATCAACAAAAGCTGAAAGCCAAACAACTCCAAAAGAAATATATAGGAGCTCCCTAATAAAAAATAACCTAAATCGGAAAATAAAGAAAAATGACAGGAACAAGAAAGAATAAATGAAACAAAAACAGTTGAAAAAGGTAGGCATGCTTAGCTAGCAATCCTGTACTCAAGACTCCCACGAGCATGAGGGAATAGTAAAGGATTAACATATTCACGGGATCAGGTGCGTGAAGGATGTGTCCCATATCACTCTCCTCCTGCATCACCCTCCCCGGGTAGGATGGGGTTCACCTTTCTCTTTGAAGGCTTTTAGAATCGATCTATCACTATCAAACCAAAATCATCGTTTTGATGTGTCTAAGGCAATCCCACTGCAAAATATGTGCTCACGTGCATTTCAAGAAACTCCATAATGCATATGTTCTTCCATAGTCTATCCTAACAAAAAATATATTTATCGTTTTTTGGCACAATTAGAGCTGGAACTGCATATAGACGAGTATTCTCATGAGCTAAGTCTTCAGTCATTAAATATATAATCCGCTTCTCCCACTTCTCGTACTAGGCTGGGAGCATCTAATAAATAAGATTGTCTAAAGGAACTAACTCTAGAATGAAATTTATGACAAATTAGATCATTCTCAGTGCCATCCACCCAAAAGATAAATTATCGATATGTATATCCAGCGAATACCTCAACAAAGGCCACCTTTTTTCGAGTATCAGCTTTTCGTACAGACTACCTTCTATAAAAATCAATGTTAATTCGACCAGAGTCTCTCTTATAGGCTTAGATTTAATCACTAGTGTCTCTGCCTCTTCATTCTCTCCTATTTCGCTGTCCATTTCTTCAATTCCTCCATACTTAGTGAAAGAGATCGCCCTTCTGTTTGGGCAATCAGGTGCCACGCAGTCAAAACCATGACACTTGAAGCATTTTCTAGTAGGAATAGATTTGGGAGTACTGATAGGCACCACATTTTCTTCACTTTGTACGGGTTCCTCACCTGGTTGGGTCAGCTTGGGTTTTCCATGGAGCGCGCTCTTACAGCGTGATCCGAGGGTTGAAATTTGTTTGGAGGGTGGTGTAGATCTGATACTGTTATGTTGTATCTCCACCTTCAGGGCTAGGATGTGAATATTTTGTAATGTCCAATAAGGTTGTACTTATACTGCATTGCCAATGGAGGATCTCAATCACCTAAGATATTGAGCTATGGTGTTCTTCTCGAACTCCACTAACCCACACTTCTCCAAAAGTTGGTCTAACTCAACTGTGTAACCCTCCACAGAAAAATCTCTCTACGCAGATGATAAAGTATCATATGCATATCCTTTGGTAATGCAGGGAAAGATATTTGCGTTGCATCTCCCATTTCATCTTAGACAGAAGGTGATCTTACTCCTCCCTTCCCGTGTCGAAGATGTTTCAAATTCTCCCACCATAAAAAAAATATTCTTCATTAGCTTAATAGCGACGCGTATGACCCTCTTGTCAAGTGGGACGTCCTTGTATTCAAAGACTTGTTTCATTGCCCTTAGCTATTTGATGAATTTGTCTGAATTCATGCGACCGTTAATATTAGATAAATCAATCTTCACATTAAAATCATCATTTTTACTCTGATATGCTATGTCAAATCATTGAGATAATGATTCTTTCACAATGGAAACTGCCTCGTGGAAGAAATTCACTTCCTCCTCTCGATCTGGTGAATCATCATTATGACTATGGATGAACTCACCAAATTTTCTCCTCGCACAGGCAACAAACCTCTATTGTAATTGACGGATTTCTCTTTACATGTCTTCCATAATAAGCTCCTAAGCTCCTCTTTGGAGATTCTTCCTAAGAAAAACTATTTCCTTTCCTCCTAATTAGATTTTCGGTGGATGTAGAGCAAATGTAGGTTTGCGATTCAAGGTTGCTCGGGGGGCTTAGGATTTAGTGCCAGGTGTTGTTGGAAAACTTTGTTGGAGGTGAAAAGGTTGGAATTTAAAAAATTAGGGTTGGGGTTAGAAACTATGATAGGAATAATTTAGGTATGTTGGAATTTTTTTAATTTCAGATTTGGGGCACAAAAGAAAAATCCCTACAAATTCAAATTTGTCGAGCTCTAATACCAGATGCTAACGTTCTAGAGTTCCTAGAAATGTTTGGGAAACGGAATTTGTGAGGAGATTGTCATGGAATAGCAAGGGAATGAAATATGGGTGTTTGGCGGTGTTTAAATGGGGATGGGTATCAATCAACAACTGTCTCGATTGAAATCAATGAAATAAACAAGATATAGATACACCACTTGCAAAAGGAATATGATGCAACACTCCCAAGAACATAGCACAAAAAAGTGTCTCAGTTCATAAACTCAACAAAAACTAAAATACAAACAACACCAAAATAAATAAATAAAAAGTTTGTAAAAAGAAATAACATAAATTAAACAATAAAGAAAAATGAAATGAACTAAAAAGAAATGAAAGAAAAGAGAAACGGTTGAAATGGATAGGCCCGCTCAGCTGTCAATCCTGCATCGCGGCAATCCCGTACTCGCTACTCCAGCGTGCACAAGGGAATAGCAAAGCAATCTCTTATTGACGGGATCGAGGGTGAATGCGGCACCCGCATGCATTAAGGACGTGTCGTGCGTCAATTAGTGTTGTTTGAGGATCAAACCTAAAAGTTAAGCCTTACAGCCAAGCAATAAGTGGGATAGACCATTTTAAAATGTACTTTGTATTTAATGTAATGATTTATGTCTACTCATTCATTAAATTATGGAGTATTAGTTTTATAAATCAATATTTATATTTTCTTGATATTTATGCCCCTTTACCCAATAAAAATTTAGGAAGGGTTTTATATAGGGCAATTCATAAGTTTGACCAAGAAAACAAGGGTTGTACAGCTCAAAATTAATGCAAAGAAGTTCAACAATTCTCAAAATACTTTTTAGAGTTTTCTAAAAATTTTTCTTAATACATTTTTTTTATTTATAATTTTTTTAATTTTTTCAAAGAGTGCCTCTAATTTTTTTATAAATTAGTATGTTTCTATATTATTATATTTTTTATTTATTAACAAAACAGTGAATAAAAAATCAATGCCGCATACAGGAGCTGAAAAGAGTCAAGAGTTTGTTTTTTTTAAATTAGCATTAGCAATAAGAATATTTGTGGCAGATTGAGACTCATAATTTTGGAGTTTAACAGCTTGTAGATATATTGAAATGATTCTTATATAAGTTTATGATTCATTGTTAATGACTTAAAAGTTAAAAACACAATTCAAACTCTTATCACTCGATTCTGAGATTTTTATAAAATATAAACACAATAATTCAAAATTTATATATAAATTATTTTTTATTAAAAGCATGTGTTTATAATGCAAAATGTGAATTTCTTCAACTTTTTTCTCCCTTGCATGTATAAGTCATCCTTCCATGCCACAACCTAGATAATAATGAAGATCATTTTTGAAAAACTTTACAGCTAGACTTACGATGATGGTCCATTATGCTAAATGAGTATGATTTGAGAATTCTTTATTTTATGCAAAGGGATTGTATTGAACCAGCCGTCCATGAAATTGCATCAATCTATCGCCAACATTCACACATGATGGAGCCCAGATGTGGAATATATATATACCGGGGTCAACAGCAAGAAACAATTAATCCCGTCATCATCAATGAATGCATGATCTAATCAGGCACAACAACCACATCTCCTTCCATTATCTAACCCTACCCCATCACCATGGCAACCTTTCTACCTCTTTCTTCCATGATATCAATCTCTAGGATTACTTGGGTTTGTGAAATAGCAAGTACCCTAATCTTAAACTAGTAGCACAATAGCACACCCACTCAGTTTTAGGAGATATTATAATATATTTTGTATAAAGTAAACTCAAAATTTATAACTAAACAATAAAGGCCTCAATTTGGATTGATGGGTGATATTGAAATCTGAGCCAAAGTTAACCCAACCAGAATATGGTTGAACTAAACCTACATTTAAATATTTGACCCAAACCTGGTCCAACTCATCCATTTATCACATGCATCAAGCAATTTTTTGAATAAATATGAATCAATTAAACCAAACATGACTTGTTTAACCCAATCTGAACGGTAATTTGGCCAACCAAAGCTGTATTTTCGAGTTAGGTTTGGGTCATCATTTTTGGTCATATATTGACAGCTGTCACCCAACTAAACAAACAACGTCTGAATGTTAGATGGCTTCATCACAGTTCATTCTCATGGGCTCGCCTATAATCTAACTTCTAGCATTACCCTGCTGAATAACATAACCATGATAAAGAAAATTACTTGTATTCCATCAAGCAACTCTTGAAGAGCTTCATTTAGCGCTCCAAACTCAGAAGAAATATCATCTGGAAGAAAAAAGGTCACCTAAATTAGAAAAAAATATTACAAAGAAAGATTATTTTGATAAAAAAATTGATACAGGAAGAACAGGAAAGAAGTTTACTTAGGTCACCATCATCTTCATCAGGATCCATGATACCGAGGTCATCATTTGCTTCATCACCATCCATTACAGCCCTCTTAATATTAGAAGGGACTCCAGGTGAAACGAGAGCAGGAACATCAAAGCACATAAAATGTGCAAAGAATGAACTCTGATATAAGATGGCAAACATAGAGCAATCAATGCAAAATTTCACCCCAAAAAATTAAGAGGAAACAGATAAGTTACCTCATCCACAAGAAGAGGAATAAAAATTGTGAGCATTCTTGCATAAGCTTCTGAAACTGTAGAAGTATCAGTATTATTTGGGGACTGACCGGAACCTGTAGAAGCTTCAAGCCAAACTGCAGGATTTCTGGAAGCCTTAGTACTTGCCCGGAGTTCATTGGCAAATTCACGTGCCTGAAATATACCAGTTAAAAATAGAAACAAAAATTTACATCAAAAATTTCTGTCACCTTGAACCGGATTGGAAAAATTATACAAAATTAACACCATCAACCAATTCAATTGGCCAATATAGTTCGAGTCAGAGCACTTAGGTGTTAAACCCACAGAACAAATTTTATTAAAACAATTAGAAATTAAGATATATCTAAACTACAATAAAATTAGAAGTTCAAAAGGATGAAGGAATATAGATGTAAGATGAGATACTTCTTTAAGATATTTTAATTTTTTTTTTATTTTTTTTTATTTTATAAAAATTTGCATATTTGATTTACCATAAAAGCACCAGCCTTTCATCACTATCGTTATCCTTGTAATATTTTGTTGAATTACTACTATAAGAGGGCAATGCATTATTGATTGATAAATTTTATTTTAAATCCCTTCCCGATACTTTGTTCTCTTAATGAATCCCCACCAGCAATTTGGACTCCTCTCTTCTCCCTCCTATTCTTCAGAGAATTTATGACGTCTCTCTCTGAAATCACCTAGGAATTGCATGATTTTCTGTTTTGTGTGTTCATCACTTGATTTTCAATAGCCTTTAAGGTCAGCACAATGGACTATTCTGACAACATACATTCTAAATTTGTGCAAAAGCTGACAATTCTTATATACTCTAAAGCAAAACTCCTCTTATGCTGCTATCAAAATCTGTATCAAATCATCCTTCATGCTATTTCAGATTTTGTTGAAGGCCAAGTATGTAGCTATGCATGAAAATAATAAGCTTGTGTTTAGGACAGAATAATCTGACCTTCCGGATGAATTTTATAAGAATTAAGGAGAAAACATTCAAATTTGATTAAAGCAAAACCCTTTCTCCTCACCTCTCTACGGAGCAACAAATTGAGAGAATGACAGTAAGCCTTCCTCAAAGGGCCTAAGCAATTCTTGTCAAGGCTCTGAATATCATTAATAGAAAGCACACAATAGATTAGAAAGGTTAAATGATATCACTCCTAAAAATTATCTTAATGCAGTAGGAACCTTCAAATGCTGAAGAAGCCTTGCATATGTCCTGCATTTGTATCTCAGATCAGCATGATCAGGCCGTTTTAACTGTCCACGCTGCAAGTAAATAAAATGTACCCTCAACCTTAAACTTTAAAAGGATATTATATAATGAAAAAGGGCTTAAAGAAGAAACCAGCCTGAGAAAAATAGCTTTTGTCACTTATCATAAAGTCGACAAGACTAGCGAAGTAATTTCTAAGAAATTCAGATGCTCTCCGAACAAATGTAACTTTTAGTTTTTCTAATTCGGCTCTCTTTTCCCTAACCTGCATGAATGATGTACAGATGCAGCGTAAAAATTTATTAGAATCATAATCAACTTCCCAAAGCACATGAATAACATAATACTGCTAGAGAAACATGTCAGGGTAGATAATAATCATATCCAAAAAATCTTCATAATAATTTCACTAAGTGGTCAAAAATCAACAAAAGGAACAGATAAAATTGAGAGCCCAATAAGTATAAAAAATAAATGATGAAATATCAAAAAATAACTTAGGTTGAGCCTACAAAATATCAAACCACGCTCAAGTTAAACTCCTCTTAGCTCGTATAAAAATTTTGTTTTATGATTTGTTTAAATAAATTGCAGAAAAAATTCATAATGCTTAAAAGTAGGAAGATCTTACCCCCATAATTCCATTCACAAAAAAGCAGCATATCGATTCACCATTTTTTTTCCATTTATTCTATGTAAAGCTTTTCAGAATGACAGTCATTTCTAAACAAATCTAACTGCATTGATCTAGTAACACACACACACAGATTGTATTTTTTTCTTCATTCTCAGTGACAAATTTAAACATAGGGTACACATGCAAAAGCAAACAATGTCATTGCCGGGTCCCACGTACCGGTCATGAAAAGTGACGTGAAAAGCAGAGGGTTGTTGAAAATTTACCAATAGGTAGTTGATGGCCAGTGTAAACATGTTGTCAAAAATTATGTAATGAATTATTCAAATCATTGTCTTAATGTTATGGTGTTCCTTGGAAGTGGCGCAATGTATGGTCTGAATACAGTTAAAACTGTGCAAGGGTTGCTGCACCGGTGTCCGAGTGTGATGTGAAATAAGCAAGTGTTCTCAAATTATGAACAGATGCGAGCAAAAAAGTTAATCCATAAAACTAATATTATGATAGTAACATGAAATATAGATATTCTCACAAGTAAATTAATGAAATTAGTAGATATTACGATTCATGGAGAGATAAACATCTTATGCATTCAGGAAACTAAATGGGTTAGAGAAAATTCTAAAGGGATTGATAACTGAGATTTTAAATTTTAGCATTCAGGTATGAGTCGCGCTAGAAATGGTGTATATGTAATTATAGATAAGAGTTTCAAATATAATGTTGTAGAAATTAAAAGAATTGGAGATAAAATTATGACTCTAAAGATTGTTATTGATATTAAGATTCTTAATGTTATAAAAATTTATGTCCCCAAGTAGGTTTGAATGTATGTAAAAGAACAATTTTGGAATCACTTAAAATAATAAATACAAAATATACCCCTTGAAAAAAAAAATATTCTATTAGAGAAGATTTTAATGGATATATTGATAGAGTGGCAGAAGGTTTTAAAAGTATTCACGATGGCTATGCCTTCGGAGTGCCTACTAAAGAATCATATTGAATTTTGTTTTAACTTATGATTTTGTTATTGCTAATATTTTATTTAAGAAAATAGATGAATATATTATCGCATTTAAGAGTAGATTTAATGAAACAAAAAGTGATTATGTTCGTATGAGAAAAAAAGATTATCGAGATTGTATAAATTTCAGTACCCAACATCAATTATTGCTTTTAGATTTTATGATGTATGGTTGAAAGATAAAAAATACAACAAAATATTATCACATAATTATATGAGAATACTTAAAAGAAAAATAAAATTACTTTTACAAGTAAATTCATGATCATAATATTTGGGATACTATTCACGATGGTTATGCTTTCGGAGTGACTACTAAAGAATCATATTGAATTTTGTTTTAACTTATGATTTTGTTATTACTAATATTTTATTTAAGAAAATAGATGAACATATTATTGCATTTAAAAATAGATTTAATGAAACAAAAAGTGATTATGTTCGTATGAGAAAAAAAATTATCGAGATTGTATAAATTTCAGTACCCAACATCGATTATTGCTTTTAGATTTTATGATGCATAGTTGAAAGATAAAAAATACAACGAAATATTATCACAGAATTATATGAGAATACTTAAAAGAAAAATAAAATTACTTTTACAAGTAAACTTCATGATCATAATATTTGCGATATTAATGAATAATCTAATATTATATGGGATAAAATAACAAGTATTATCAAACAAATTACAAAATGTGCTCGGAGAATCAAAAGAAAATCTTTTTATGAATAAAAATAAGTGGTGGTAGAATAATAATGTAAAAGAAAGGATAAAAAAAATATGCTATAAAAATAAGTTTAGATGTGAAAGCCTGGAAAATTGAAAATAATATAAGATGGTCTGTCTGAAATCTAAGAAAAAAATTTATGATACTAAAAATTATGTTTTTCATGATCTTTATAATAAATTAGATATTGAAGATTATGAAAGATAATGTATAAATTAGCCATCCAAAGAAATAAGAAAAGTAAAGACTTATTTCAAGAAAAGTATATTAACAATGAAAATCAAAAAAACAAAATCTTAGATGAAGATATTCAATATAGGTGGATGAGATATTTTGATAAACTTTTAATAAAAATTATGAAAATAAGATCGACTTTAGTGATCTTAATATTATAAATAATTTTTTTTTTATTTCTAGCATGGCATTAGTAAAATAGAAGTGAGGAAGTTTTAAAGAAAATGAAGTGTGCAAAAATAATATGATCTGATAGAATTCTAATAGGTATATGGAAATGTTTAAAAGATGTGAGAATTTCTTGGTTTGTAAACTTTCTAATAATAGTTTAAAAACTAAAAAGATTGCAAATGAGCGAAGAAAGAACATTGATTCTTATTTTTAAGAATAAACAGGATACACAATAATGTCAAAATTGTAGACGAACTAAATTAATGTGTCGTATATTAAAATTATGGGAGAGAGTAATTGAACATAGATTACGACATGCTATAAAAATTTATTATAATTAGTTTGGATTCATGTCCACCAAGTCTACTATAGAAGTTATACATTTATTGAGAGGTTTGATAGAAAAGTACTAGAAAGAAAGAAGGATATATATATATATATGATGATTTACAAAAACTTATGATAAGGTTCCAATAGTAATTTGGAGAGTTCTAAAAATAAGGTGTCCATATTACTTATATTAAAATCATTAAAAATATATATACTAAGTTGTTACTTGTGTTTGACAAAAAAATAATTGACAAGTATTTTTCTATTTCAGTTGGATTACATCACAGATTGGATTTAAACCCATACCTTTTTGGTATAGTTATGAATGTTTTTTCTGGACATTTACAAGAGGATGCACCTTGTGGTATGTTTTTTGTAGATGATATCTTTCTTGTTGATAAGACGAAGAGTTCAGGAAAAACTTGAATTATGGAGGTCAACATTAGAGTCTAAATTCTGTTTGAGTAGATCTAAAACTAAATACATTGAATGTAATTTTAGTAGTAACAGAGCTAGTGGCAGGGTTGTAATAATAGGTGATCAAGTCATTAAAAGAAATAAACGTTTTAGATATCTCAGTTCTATTGTTCAAAATGGTGATGATATAGATGGGGAGGTTATTAGTATAATTCAGGTTGGATGGTTGAAGCGGAGGAATGCATCAGGATTATTTTGTGTAGAAAGTGTCAATTAAACTTGAGAAAAATTTTACAAGATGGCAAGGCCTATAATGCATTACGACACAAAATGATAGCTTATAAAATAAAAGCATAAAATTAAATTAAGTGTTGCTGAGATGAGAATGACTTAAAGGATAATGTTATAAGATGGTGGTGAAACCTGCAATGCTTTTTGGCACGAAATTTTGACCTTCAAAAGAGAAGCATAAAACAAAGTTGTGTTGTTGAGATGAGAATGCTTAGGTAGATGAGTAGCTTGACACTTAGAGATAAGATGCGAAATGAATATATCCGTGAAAAGGTTGAGATAGCTCTGTTGACGTCATTTTTAGTGAGGTCTAGTTTTCTTCTTAGGGTTTAGGATCTAGCCTTAAGGTTCTCCCATTGACTATCTTAAAGCCTTAGAAATGAGACCCACCTCATTTTAGAAATTCAACCTACTTCTTCACCCTTTTGGAGTTTCGCATGTGTGGGATCGGCCTCTAACACTTGAAGGTTGAAACCAACATGAGGAAACCCAAAAGGAGTCCCTATAAAATCATTAAGCCCTGGGATTGCCTTATGCACAATTGCACCTTCGCCGCACAAACTTCGCGATTCAGACAGTCGACGCATTCGTTTTCCACAATTCGCATCGCTTGCATTGTTATTCGTTGAAAACTTGAATAAAATTTTTTAAACGATCAATCTTAGGCTCAAAATTTTGACGAAAACAGAATTTGACACGTTCTTTTGACCCGACCGTCGACGAAGTTGTCCGAACGACCCCGGATGATGAAATGAGCTGCACCGATGCGTCCGGAACGTCAATTTTAGCTAGGAAGAAAACTCATTTTGCTAAGACGCCGCGCACGAATAAATTACACGAAATTTGACAATTTTAAATTAAAAAAAAGAAAATAATCCTTATTTTAAAATTCCTAAATCCCTAACTCTCACTCACGCCTCTCGCCTCCTCTCTTTCCCGCCCGCAAGCCCGGCAGAGCAGAGCGTCCCCATTCCCATTCGCGAAACCCGACTGAGCGGCCCACCTCTTCCTCGCGAAGGATCGGCTCGAGGTCTCGCCTTCCCCATGCCCTGCAAAAAGATTCCACCTACTCCATGTCGTTCTGCCTAAAAGCCTTTCTCTGTCACCACGTGCACTACCTACCCTTGTCGCCACTCGCCTTGTCACCGTCGGTCTCGGCTCACCTCCCAAATAAGTGACGGTAAATATGTTCTCCTCCTTTGGCTATATAAACCCCATCTGAGAGGGGCCTTTAGGATTGGCCGAAAATTTAAAGGAAGGGGGAAAGTGCTGTCATTTTCTTTTCTGGATTCTCTGGTTGTTTCCTCTTGAGTGGCTTGGTGTTCTTAGGGTGTGTTCTTTTCTTGTTCTTCTCTTCAAAAAATAGAGCAAGACTTGTTGGAGACACGTAAATATTACATTTGATTGGTTTGGAGACATATTTATGC